CTGCCTCTGCCTATTCCCAGGCTACACCTCTGCAGCCCCAGTACCTCTTTAGGCCTTTAACAAGGCCTCAGCCTGGGGAGTTGCCAGGCTGGAGCTCCCCAGCTCCTCTTGCCCTTGCCCTTCCTCTGCTCTGCTTCTAGTACCCTGTGCTCCCAGGCAGCTAAGCCCTTCTCACTCCAGCCCTAGAGTGAGACTCCCAGCTCCTCCCTTAGCCCTTCTTATAGGGCCAGCTGTGGCCTAGTTGGGCAAGGCCCCAGCTGTGGCTGCTTCCCCAAGCAGCCTAGCTTTTTCTATCGGAGCGGGTAACTGCCCTGCTACACTCAGACATAGGCTTTTTGTCTCTATCACCATGAAGGTCGGTGTGTGTGTGTGTGCGTGCACAGATAGTTTCTGCTTTGGTTTTTTTGTCGTGTGCTTGGCACACCTCAATTGCAGAGACCTGGCCCTTCCCTCACAATGTCCCTCTGTTGCCTTCGCCTCTTTCCTTACTTTCTTCATCCCTTTTTGGTCATAGGCATATTTGGAGATGGATCAAAGCCAGAACTATTTTTATCTGCACACTTCTAAACTTTGGGAATTTAGATAAAATCCAATCCACCCCTCACTGAGGTTCTGTAAATCTCATCCGCTGAAGTTTTGTAAAACCAAATTCTCTCCAGATTTTACAAGAGAGAGTGACCCAGTCTTGTCTTGTTAATATATGCTGTGTACATGCCAAGGGCACAACTGGAATTTTCCTAAGGAGGGGGCCCAAAGCTCTCATTCCCCTGCCTTGCACCCAGCCCCAAGCTCTCTCGCCTGCTGCTCCCTTATACCCGTCCCGAGCTCACTCTCACTGCCTTTGCACTGAGACCTGTGCTCGCTCTCCTGAACCGAGCTCCACACAGACTCCCTTCCTGCTGCCCCACACCAATCCCTGGGCTTTCCCCCAGGCATTACTCCACACCCAGTTTCAAACTCTCCCCTCTGCACTCACCCCCATGGTCTCTCCTCTCCACATGTAGCCACATGCTCTTCCCTTGATCGTGCCCCACACCCAGCTCTGAGCTCCCCCACCTCCTGCACCACACCCAATTCTAAGCTGTTTCCCCAGAGAGGCAGTCAGGCTGAATTGCACCAGGGTCCAGGCTGTTCTGGGAGCCCTAAGTCCCATCCTCCTTCTGCATCTCCACTTCCCCTGAAAGCATCAAAGCCAAGATCCAGTTCTCCCATTCTCCTGGGGACTGGGAGTTTCCGGGGCCCCCTGTTCTGCTTGTCCCCAGGGGTTGGGGGACCGAGTGCCCCTGGGTGCCGAAGGACTGCACACATGGGAGACCAAGCAGACGCAGGGGTCACAACACTACTCAAATTTGGCCTAGCTGCCCCTCCATCATTGCCCAAGCTGCAACTTCAAAGCACTATCTATACAGCTATTTTTAGAGTGCCAGCACGAGCCTGCTAATCAAAGTCTGTCAACCTGGGCTGAGAAGCTCATTCTTGCTCCCGCCAAAAAGCTGTGTAGACATATCGCAAGATGTTTGTTAGCTTGGCTGGAATTGAATATAAGCACTCTCTCTGAAACCAATGGATCTGCCATTGACTGGGTATTTTTAAAGTACTTTTGACCAATGTGTGGAGTGAAGGCGTTGCAACACGTGCCTGGGGTAAATTTTGCGGTTTAGTTAATGTACATATCTTTTAAAGTGCACAGCAAATGAGGCAGGTTTTACTTTCCAAGATATGATGTAAACTTAAGCAAATGACTAATTTTTCAGTTAATTTTCTGTAAAGCACTTTGGGATCTACCAATGAACAAGTGCCAAATAGTATTATCAGGCATATTTCACAGACGGACTTGTGTGTAATGGAATAAGCCCCCTGACCTCTAAGCATAAAAACCTGGTTTTAAACTCTGGGTCTCACATTCATTTATTATGTAAACTTGTGCAGAACATTTAGCCCCATCTGTAAATTGCTTTGAGATTTATAGAAGAAAGTAAAAGTGACAAATATTATGGTTTATCAAAGACTAACTAGTTTGTAAATGATGTGCTGATGCCTATTCTTCTTGCTCCAAACTAAGTCTATACACTATGCAGAGTCAAAAATTCAACCCCTTCTTTGCATTTGGCTTTATTAATAAAGAATATCATAAAATTCACCCAGAGCCTTCTCTCCAGGCTTGGCTGTGTTCTAGGACTCCTACCACAGGACTGCTCAGCTCACTCTCTAGATCCTCTTTTTGGAGAGCCACTCCCACCTTCCTTATATGTAAGTGGGGGTAGCAAGCCATCTGAGATAGTGAGTCAGCAGAGCCCACTTAACCCTTTTGCATCAGGATCAGCATCTGCTGACTAGGTTGGGTAATTCAGGCAAACACCGACAACCTATTACAGTTTAGCTTAAGGGTCTATTTTAGCAGCCATTCTGCATCAATTGCATAGGATACTGGGCCAATGTAAATGCAGATCCCATGTTTCCACCCCTCTGATGGGTCCTGCCTACCCTCCTTGCAGCCATCCACACTGGCCTATGTGGAACTGGTGCAGAGACCCTGAGTTAAGGTGATATAGGAAAGGAATCAAGGTTCCTACACCATGGTTTGTACTTACTGTACCACACAGAGGGTTCTAATGCCATCTAGAAAATAGTTGTACATGGGTAAATTCAATTAAAAAAAATGTATTAAAAGAACATTAAGGTTGCAAACTGAAATACTTAAAAGTCAGGAAGTGGTAAAGTTAAATTTGTGTGCTTAACCTTAAATCTGCTCTCTTCTGTATATGCATTATAATGTAGTATATTATTACATAATGATATAATAGATCAAACAACATTTTAAATAAAGCCCTAGATTCCTTCTTGCAGCACGTTGTAAAAATAAATGCTACTCTTCCTCTGGGATACTGTCACATTGTTTCTCAGATTATGCAATATAATACCATAGTATGTTAGACAGTATTGTGTTTTAAATATTAGAGATTCACCAAGTGACTCTGTAGGCAGTAGCCTACCTTAAACTGGTAATTGCCCTTCATTATAGCCTGTGGAGCACAGCTACTGGCTCTTATCTTCAGGAAGATGTTGAGAGCTGTGCTTGCTTGCTCTTTCGCGAGCCCTTGCAAATACACACACATACGCGTACACACGCACTTTCTCTCTCTCACTCCCTCTAATACACATGCATTTACACACTTCGGCATATTTTTAGAATATCTCTTGGAAGACTCTCGCTGTTCTGCTGAGTATGATTGTCTGATGTTTTTCTTACCAGGTACTTGTATAGTTCAGCCTTATTTAAACACTGTTATCTCTTTGATCAAAGTCTATAACCTGAAATTTGAGCTGGAAAAGAAGGGTGGGGGGAAATCTATCAAGTACATATATATTTAAACGTCTGCTGCTGTCTCTGTATGTATGCAGTGATTCAAATGTATTTACTTCAGTGAAATCTTGCAAGTGCAGATTAATCATTGGCTTTTTTAGCAAAAGCTCTAAAAATGTAATATTATGATTCAATTATTGTCTATTGAATTAAACAATTTATAGTAAAGTTGTTTTGAAACTATTTTAAGTTGAAGACAAAAAAATAAATTTCTCGGTGGATTCTTTTTAAACCTCCATCTCACTTGATGATCAGAATTTCCAAATGCTGGGCTGAATGAATGTAGAATTATTTTAGTATGGCTTGGATTTACGTTAATAACTAAATCATGTTATCTAGAGCCTTGTATGTGTCTGTTGGGGGTTGGCACTAACTTAACTGTGCCAGCTGAACCGTAGACCATTATAGCATTGCTATAGAACTTGAAACAATTTTCGGAGGTTTTCATTAGGCTGATGCAAGACAAGTAGCTTCTGCAAAATTCAAATAATATGGGAATAAGTTGCAAGATGAAACTTGCTTGCCACACCTTTCCTCTACAATTCTGTTTTCTCTTGCTGAGTTTTAAATATAGTTTTAAGGGGGACATTTCAATTTATTGTAAAGTTGGTCCCTTTGGATTATTTTGATTTCCCAAACCCTGATCTCTAATTTGAAGTGTGCCAGATATTTGTCAATGGACAAGGAGGAAGAACATCCTCCTGCTGGATTTATTAATATTAAGTTAATATTTCACGTAATTAACATGAATTTTGTCTAACTGTCTTGGGTTTTACATGATGGTCTGAAAGACGTCTTGTTTCACGTTTAAGTTTATGTTGCTCTGATTTTACATGCTGAACAAGAAGCAGGCAGAAATGTATAGAAGAATTTAACTAAAGGTTTCCCCTGCCTTTTCATGTTACTTTTTACACTTCAATTAAATACCAGGAATCATTATAATTGAGCACATTTATATATGACTTTTCTCCTACATAGATAGAATACATCCATTGATTTCTGTTAAATACAGTTTTACTGACTGGCTGGCTGCACAAACACAAACACACACACACATACTCTGTTCTGCCATATCTCAGTTACAGCGTAGTCCTACCCAGGGTCATTACAATGTACACATTACATATTTCTAGCAAACATGAAAATGAATCAAACAGGAGTAGAGATAAACAGAGATAGATTGGAGCCTGGTGGGGGCATAAAAAGCAGTAAGCTGACTGACCACTGGACTAGTCTTCCTAGTTTGGTATAAGCACTGTTTTCCCTTAGCCACCCTAGAGCCGCAGGACCCCACGAAGTGAAAAATTAAACAGCTAATAGGAGTAAAGTTTAGTGGAACAATTATTTGGTATCACTCCAAAACTAATTGTTTCCGAAGAGATGTTTAAACCAATGTCAGTGCAAGGCAAGAGTTCTTGGCCTATGGCCAGCACCTTTGTAATGCATATTAGCTCAGATGAGGAGTACTTAAATGTTAGAGAGAGGGAGACAGGGAGAGAGAAAGAGAGTGTTTTCTCACAGCTCATGCTGCATTGGATTGTATTCTCCTCCTTGCTGAGACCAGCTGAATACCTGTGCAGTGCTTCCTTAACATGATTTTTGCCAAGGCTGACACCAGGTTCTGCTCTTTTTTCAGGTGGACTATCAGCTGTTGATCCCTCTGCTGACAGTAAAAAAAGACATGCCAATTGCTCGCTGCCATTAACAATGACCATGACCCTTCATACCAAAACCTCTGGAGTTGCCCTGCTGCACCAGATTCAAGGCACTGAACTGGAGACTTTGAGCAGACCTCAGCTGAAGATTCCCCTGGATCGGTCACTCAGTGAGATGTATGTAGAGAGCAACAAGACAGGGGTTTTTAACTACCCAGAAGGCACCACTTATGACTTTGCCACTGCCGCTCCGGTGTACAGCTCTACTAGCCTCAGTTATGCCCCTGCTTCTGAATCATTTGGGTCCAGCAGTCTGGGAGGGTTTCATTCGCTGAACAATGTCCCTCCAAGCCCCGTGGTATTCTTACAAACTGCGCCACAGCTCTCACCCTTCATCCATCACCACAGCCAACAGGTACCCTACTACCTTGAAAATGATCAAAGCAGCTTTGGGATGAGAGAAGCTGGCCCTCCAGCCTTCTACAGGTAAATCTTACCTTTGATTTATTTTAACAGGATATGTAAAGTAGGATGTAGAGAAGCATGCAGAATTATCTCTGTATAAAAGGCCATGTAGTCTGATCAATTGAGTCACCAGTGAATAATTAGACTGTAAATGATAGCGTGGAGTAAACAAAACAGCTGTTGTGACTGTTGAGTAATTGTTGCTGTAAATGTTAGAAAGTGTACGTATATGAAAAATAAGCATAAAAAAAGATAATGAACATAAATGTGACCTAGGAAAAACAAGCCTAAAATAATAATCTGCAAAAGTATGGAAAACAAGAACAAAAACTACATTAAATAAAAATGAGAGTCTGAAATACACTAGAAGGGATTTCTCCACCACCTTTGGTTAACTTCAGACCTGGTGTAAGTGATAGTTTGAGTCTGTAGCAAGAGGCTCTTTCCTCTGACTGCCTGTAGAATGCTATGGGTGGCTTATACGAGAAGCTGTTCAGAAACTCAGTGTCCTTCTTAGCAAAACTGTTGTAGTCGACTTAATGGCAAACAGCATTTCAATCATACAGAGCCTTTAGGAGTGGCAATAAATGCCTCATACCTGAAATGCATATTTGGTTGGAGAGAGATAAAGAGATATTGTTTCCCTAAGCTAGCACATTTTATTAAAAGACAGGGTATTTTTACATTTTTTTCTCTATAGCGTCTTGTGTTTCTTAGTGGAACACTTCTATAAAAATGTTCTATGGGGGAGTATTAGCATTAATATTTTTGCAGTTGTAGATGCATTTCAGTACTTTTTTTGGATTAGGTGGTGGAATGTGGCTGCAGACAATTTTTAGATGGCATAGAATATATAAAACATCTCTAAGAGATGCCCAGGTTTTTATCAGCTCTCCTTCCTTATTCTTAATTTAAAAATAAAAGACCCCAGCCACAAAATAAATAAATAAATAAATCTCCACGACAAAATGAAAATGTATTTCTTCCTTGGGAAAATACCAGGAATGCAATGACCCTATATCCACTCTCTTCCGAATTTTAATATTTGGTAGCAAAATTTTGCAGGATATTGTGCTGGGTTATGTTAAAGGCGATTTCCCCCCTTCTTAATCTGTGTCTCTGTTTCAGTTATCTGGGAGGTCTGAGCAACAAACTGCAGTTTAGGAAAAATTACTGTGTGTAATATTTAATATTGCCAGCTTCTTGCACCCTAACTCTATTGAACAGTAAAATAATACTCAGTATGAGTAAGAATCAGGCCACAAATCAGAGAGGAAGATTGAAGTTTTGAAAAGGATTTGTGTATCAGATGGAACCGGAAGCAGCACCTTTTAAAAAAATTATAGTGTGGGATTACAATAAACTTGCTATTGATGGTCTGTACTGATTATCTCACATTGACAGCCACAGTATTGACTTGAACTAAGTTAGAAAAAGCAGTGCTGTTTCTGTCTCTGTAGGGCTCTACTGGATAGGATATTGCCCTGAAAACACTAAACTTTAGCTCTTTTTTCCTCTTGGGCACAGACCCAATCACAAATATCCCAGCAAATAAAATAATTTTAATAGTGCTCAATTTATGAAGATATTTAAAGATAAAATCAGGAGTTAAAGTACAGGCATTTCGAAAAAAGGCAGTAGAGGGCACAAATTCCACACATCTCCAGTTTGCTTTACTCATTTCAGTTGTCCCATTGACTTCAATGGGATTAGATGAGTAAGGAGAGCAGAATTTAGTCTTTTGGTGTAATAGTGTTGCATGATTGTGTTGGAGAGTCACAATATTTGCAATGGAGCATCACAATAACATTATGGTTTAGGGATGCAAATGCATTCTCTGGGGCCAAATCAGCTGGAGCAGTAACTATTTAATAATTACTTACGATAAGTAGGAGATGAAGGTGTATTCTGCCATGCACTGCCCCACTTTAACACGTGGTTAAAATGTTAGAAATTTTCCTCCTTCTCCTCACTCTCTTATTGAAGAAGTTAAATACAAATTATATTATATTTAATTAGCATGACATTTTGCATGTATACAGATAGATCTATGTATGAATTCAGTATCACTTATATTTGATTTATTTATTAATTTTTCCTTGTGTTTTTCAATACATTTCCATTGAAAAATAGTTCCTCTGAATTTCACTGCATGCTAATGACATACTGTATGTCTAGTACTGGATACTATCTTTTCTTATCTTACAAAGGTAGTATGTTCAAATCATGAGTGAGGAGTAGCTGTGGGTTAATCTTTTAATTTTCTTGGAATTTTTGCATGTTTTATTGTCTTTTTGCTATTTTCAGTACTTAATTTATCAAATATTACTATGTATTTTAATGACAATATTGCCATTTATATTTTGTGTGTATGAGTATCTTGCTATCAACTAAGAAAATGACTTCAGCTGATCTCAGTTTTTATATTTGATTTTGGTGTAAAAATTTTCACTGTACTTTGCAATAGGTTTCTGTCTCATTCAGGAAACACCAGAGGAGCCCTCCAGTGGTTAACTTAACACCTGTAAATCCCCATAGACGCAACAGATTAATTCCTTTCTGTTGCCCTATTAGAAAACTAAAAGGTTACCCCACGGGCCTTGCACCTTCTAAGGGTCAGATATAAAAACTTGTCTGCCCTCTGTCTGGCTAGGAAGCTGGCTCCAAATTCAGCACAAACTCACACAAAACCAGATTGGACCTAGTATCCAGTTGATTATGGAGCCACTTATTTGTCTGTAGCAAAACACAAGACCAAGTCAAGTCAATACACTAGAGGAAACATTCTATGGAAAAGCATTTGTGCATCAGTAACACTCTCTGTCTTTCTCTCTCAAATGGAGCCGGAATGTTTTCTGGTGCCTAAAGCCTAGAGCATATGACTAAAGTATCTGTTTAATTTTGCAGATGAGTAATATCTCCAAAGCTTATTAAAGCTGAATGATTATAAAATGTCTCTTGGCTGTTTCCCATCAATGTGATCATGTTAATTCTTAACACTTGCCTAAAGCGGTCCAAAAAAAAATGACAAAGATACCTTGATCCCCATCCTGCTGGAGTTCATAAATCCCCACACAGGGTATCAGAATTTGGAAAAAGAGAGCTGACCCTGCTAGCCTAAGCTGTTTTCTTTAGCTTGAATGACTTCAGTGGCTAAACCTTATGGCTGTTTATAGAGGGAGCGGAATTTTAAAAAGTGCCACAGTATATACAAAATCTAAGGATAAAATGTTTCCTTTTCTTTTTAAATATAGTGTGGTGTGCTCTAGTATAAGGGAATATCCACGTAGTAGTCTCTTTTCTGTGGAAAGTTTCCTTTTGATTTCACAGTTGGCGTTAGGCATCCATAATATAGGAATGCTGATGTTATGTCCTGAACACTAGGAATGATTCTGTTTATAGAGCCTGTCCTCCTGTCCCTGTCAATTTTGCAAAAATGGCTTATAGAGGAAGGATGGCACCAGGCTTCCCTATGTTATAAGGGTGTTGTGAGAATAAATCCATTAGAGATTGTGATGTGCTCTGATTTTATGGTGATGGGGGCCATAAAAGTACCTAAGAGATCTATATCTACTAGTTCTTCTTTGAGTAGGTGTCAGTGTGGGTCCCACTCTAGGTGCACATATGCCCCATGCACTCAAGATTGGATTGTTCTTTATGATAAGCATGTGAAAATCAGTACACTTGGAATAGGTGTAGGAGTGTGCATGAGGCACGCACAGCGCCAGTCAAGGAAGCCAAATGTTGCTAAGGCTGGGTGGCTGAGTGAATGTTTATTATTGCTGTTTCTTGCTGGTCCAAGTCAGAAGTATAACAAACAAGATGAAAGAAATAGGAAACACATCGAAGAATACTACAAAGAGAATTTTTCACAAATGTCTTGGAGGCAAATTTCACTGTTCCTATGGACACAGTGAATTGGTAGTGCTGCCTATACTTAAGGTTGCCCTACACTTCCCATTTTAAGACCCAGTTTTCAGTTGCTTATAATTTTGTCAAACTTCAACTGTTCAGGCTGAAATTTTCTATGCCAAGTGTCTGCCTCAAGATGATTTTTTTCTTTTTTAAAGTTTCAGCCAAAATGGCTCACCTGTTTCTGAGAATGATGGGAAAATACCTTGTTTTGCCTGTGTTAAAATGGTCTTGTTTGTTTTTTGTTTTTTGTTTAAAATTGAGACACTCTAGTGCCTCCATGCCGTAGAACAGTTTGGCATTGGAGGTCACCCTGGTGTCAGAGATGTGCTTTTTTGCTTTTCCCAGGAAATCCTGCCCAAATTTGGCCAAGTTATAAGCCTCTTAAAAATCTCAATTTGAATGTACTCAATAGACATTTGTTAGCGTTTGCCAGTGAGATTCTCTGAAGATTTCATCTGGATGGAGCACACTGCATCACCTCACAGTTCCTATATGCTGACTGGACTGTGTATGCATCACCCCAACTAAGCGACTGAGCATGCTCCATCCCAGGGCAGCTGGGGCTGTGCAGGACTTTCACTGCAATTACTGCTCCTGGCTGATGCAGATCACTGTGGTGTCAGGCCACAGAAACTGATATCTGGAAGACTGTCTTTCTTGTACTCTTAAGGACCCTCCTGCTGGCCCAGCCAGCATGAAAAAGCAGCCTGACTCAAATGCAGAGAAGTCAAGAGGTGGACTGGGCAGGGGGACAGAGAGAGAGAGTAGAGACTAGATTGGTACAAGGAGTGTGGGGGGAGAGGGAAGGGAGACTGTGAGTGGGGTGGAAACTGGGAATAGGAGATCAGGTGAGGAGACTGTGAATGACTGGGTTAGGTGACTGGGAGCTAGGAGCTGGTGTGGGGGTGGAAAGACTAAGATTGGATGAGGAGCAGGAGTGAGACTGGGTCTGACTGGACAAGGAGACTGGGATACGGAGCCCAGGAAGGAGTCTGGGACTTTGACAGGGGGTGTGGAGAGCGAGACCTGGACTGGGTGAGCAAGGGCACTAGGATGAGTTGCTGAGGGGAGGAAGAGACAGGACTTGGGACAGGTTCAGGCTGGAG